GGGGAGGAAGGGGGGAAGGAAGGAAGGAAGGAAGGAAGGAAGGAAGGAAGGAAGGAAGGAAGGAAGGAAGGAAGGAAAAGAATAACAGAAGGGACCTTGGAGGTATTCTAGTCCAACCCCCTGCTCAGGCAGGAAACCCTATACCATGTCAGACAAATGGCTGTCCAGTCTCTTCTTAAAGACTTCCAGTGTTGGAGTATTCACCACTTCTGGAGGCAGGTTGTTCCACTGGTTAATTGTTCTCACTGTCAGGAAGTTTCTCCTTAGTTCTAGGTTGCTTCTCTCCTTGATGAGTTTCCATCCGTTGCTTCTTGTCCTGCCTTCAGGCGCTTTGGAGAATAGCTTGACTCCCTCTTCTTTGGGGCAGCCCCTGAGATATTGGAACACTGCTATCCTGTCCCCCCCCCCTCGTCCTTCTCTTCGTTAAACTAGACATACCCAATTCCAGTAACCGTTCCTTATATGCTGTAGCCTCCAGTCCCCTAATCATCTTTGTTGCTCTTCTCTGCCCTCTTTCCAGAGTCTCAACCTCTTTTTTACATCGTGGGGACCAAAACTGGATGCAGTCTTCCAAGTGTGGCCTTACCAAGGCCTCATAAGGCCTAAGGTTTATTTTGTGGTGCCTTCTCTTCAGAAAAAAGGCCTCCGAGGTCTCATCCCAAAAGGTTACTTGATCCTTTTTTACATCGTGGTGACCAAAACTGGATGCCGTATTCCAAGTGTAGTCCTACCAAGGCCTTGTTGCCCTATGAAATATCACTTGGCCTAGTTAAAAGTCACAGCACCACAAGTCAGAATGCAGGTAAGTCTTCCCACTTACAACCACAACAGAGCCCCAAATTTATGACAATACGTGAGACATTCGTTAAGCGGGTTTTGCCCCATTTTACGATCTTTCGTGAAGCAAATCGTTGTTAAGCGAGACATTTGTTAAGTGAAATTTCCCCTTTCCTTGTCACCGTCATTAAGCGAATCGCTGCAATTCTTAAGGCAGTAACACCTTGTTGTCTGGCTTCCCCGTTCACTTTGCTTGTCGGAAAGTCACCAAAGGGGAATCGCGTGATCTTGGGAAGACTGCGACCGTCATAAATACGAGCCGGTTGCCAAGTTTGATCCCGTGACCCACAGGGACGTTGCAACGGTCGTTAACTGTGAAAAACGGTCAAAAGTCACTTTGTTCAGGGTTGTTATGATGTCAAACGGCCACTAAATGAACTGTTGTAAGCCGAGAACTGTCATATGATATGAAGACGCCAGCTCAAAACGATGATCCGTATGTTGAGAGATGCTCTTAAGTGAGGAACAGGTTTCAACTCTTTGAAGCTTTCTTAACATGAAGATTTTGACCGCATTTTACAACACAACATATATATATATATGATGGGTTTTAGATATGTCGACAGGTGGCAGGGGGATGGGAAATGCTTATTAAATAAGATTTATAGTCCAGACCTGGGGTCCTCACACTCGGGCACTTTAAGACCTGATATTAATAAATGCTTATTGAATATGTTAAGGAAAAAGGTTATGGGGAGACCCCCGAAGTGTTTATTAGGTATTTAGATTAGAAATATGGAACATAGTAAGTGAAATAGGTAAACTTAATACAGGATTCGGATTTGTAGATTTATTTAGACGAAAGATTATGGAGGATTGCTATGATTGATTTAGTTGTATTGTAATATATCAATTTGAATATAATATGTCATTACAGGGAAAAGAGAGGAGGTTTTTAAGACTTAATTTGAACTTTATGAATATGACTTTGTTTTGTGGATAATTGATTGCCCTGCCACCACGTTGTTTCTTAAGCACTTGTTTGTAAAATGAAAAAACCAATAAAACTTGTTTTTTTTTAAAAAAAAAAAAAAAGACTTGTGGACTTCAACTCCCAGAATTCCCATGGGGAATTCTGGGAGTTGAAGTCCACAAGTCTTAAAGTGGCCGAGTTTGAGGACCCCAGGTCCAGACCGTGGAAATGTTTAAACACTACGTTGATTTAGCTGCACTGAAAAAATATTTTGGAAGAGATCAAAATGCAAAAAAAAGCAGCTTTAAAATTCAATCCAGGCACATTCTGTCCTGGAATTACTAACTAGGCAATACACATGGATAAACTCATTTCTTTTAAAGAAAATAAGTCTTCACCTCTATTTAATCTGCAAGAACTGAAGCTTCCGTCCTCAGATGAATCTCGCTTCATCTTTTCTGCTTTTCAAATCCGTTCACGCCGATTAAACTTTCTCGGGAACGGGATCCTTGGAAGTCAAGGAGCCTGCAATTGCCATTTCTGATATCTGGCTTGTAGCCCGTTATTTATTTAATTTAATTTAATTTATTTATGTTCACGTACGCGCGTGGGTGGATGTACAGCTCGTTGCCACGCGCTGCTCTCTCAGTTGAAGGGAGCACTGAAGGATGAGTTAAACCTGTGTAATTCACACAACGGTTACAAGCAGGAGACCCAATCCCCTGGCAGTCCCAGATTTCAACTCTGTCTCCTTGTCAATTCTGTAAACAGAACAACAGAGCTGGGAGGGACCTAGGTGGTCATCTAGTCCAACCCAAGCAGGAGGCCCTACAGTCATTTCGGACAAATATTTTTGTCCAATCTCTTCTTAACAACTTCCAGTGTTGGAGCATTAATTTTTGGTTAATTTTGGTTAATTTTTCTCACTCCCTGAAAATTTATTCTTACTTCTAGGTGGCTTCTCTCCTTGATCGGTTTCAGAATAACAGAGTTGGAAGGGACCTCAGAGGTCTTCTAGTCCAGCCCCCTGCTCAAGCAGGAGACCCCCAAATGGGGTCTTTATTCCACCCGGGTCCAGTCTCTTCTTAAAAACCATCCAACAATGGAGCACCCACAACTTCTGGAGGCAGGTTGTTCCACTGGTTAATTGTTCTAACTATCAGGAAGTTTCTCCTTATTTCTAGGTTGCTTCTCTCCTTGATTAGTTTCCATCCGTGGCTTCCTCGCTCAGGAATTCTGGGAGTTGAAGTCCACCAGTCATGAGGGGGCCAAAGTTTTCCCCATGCTGGCTGAGGAATTCTGGGAGTTGAAGTCCACCAGTCATGAGGGGGCCATAGTTCCCCCATGCTGGCTGAGGAATTCT